GCTTAGGCTCAAGGAACAGAGGGGGCCCAGGTGTGCCCCCCACCCCTGGTCTCAGGGCGTGGGAGGACCTTACCTGGGAGAGCACTAGGCATCCTGGGCTGGAGTGGGCAGGGCAAATGCCCTCCACTCCTCTCCCACTCCTCCCGGAGGGCCCCTCTCCCTGCCTCTGCTGATCTCTCTTGCCTACCTCCTGTGCCTCAAAGGACCCACACGGCCTGGGTGGGGCCTTGGAGGGCAGGGGAGCAGCCTGGGAGCTCAGCAGGCTCCCTGTGCCTAGGTGTGTGGCGCAAACACCCTCTGCTCCTCTCCCACTCCTCCTGAGGGCCCCTCCCGCCTGCCTCTCCTGATTTCCCCAGCCTCAGGGCGCCAATCCTGTCTGGTCTCTCCTTCTCCCCATTCAGTCCCCCATTTCCTACCAGTTCACTTGGGGGTTCCTCCCACCTCCTTGGGCGTCAGAGTTCCCCACCAGCGGCCGGCAGGCGCCCTAGTTGTGGAGAGATGCTAACTTGGCGGATTCCCACACTGCCATCTTCTAAACATAGTGTTTGACATTACACATTTAGTGTTTGAAAAAGGAAATCCTAAGCATGGTGGTGTGAGAAATAAAACATTAGCGTATGCGTCCTTCAACCCATCCCATCTACATTTTCAGTACTATTGCATACTTTTATCTTCCCTCATCTGGATGCCTTCTGTTTCCTCCAGGTTTATATTCATAATCCTGATCTTGCTTCTTTTCAGCCAACATTGCTGGTGGATAAATAGTTATAAAATTAAATTTGATCATGTTACTCCCCTTATTAAAGCCGTTAGATAGGAGCTGTCATACTTTACTGTATAAAGCCATCTAGGGTTTCATTAGGCAGATTCTGATCCATTCCAAGAGACATTGATTCAGGTCTGATATCAGGCCCAGGAACCCGTACTTTAACAAGCATCCCTGGTGTTCTGAGAGAAGCACTGTTTTAATGGCTCCTAAGCCTGCAATTGAAAGTTCAAAAGCCTTAGTGTGGACATCTGTGCTCTCAGTGAACCATGCCTTGCATTCTTTGTCTTGGTCATCAACATCAACACCCATCCTGTGATGTTTCCTGCCTTTATCCTTTTTCACATCCTGCTATCTTTCTGCCCTTTCATACCTCAAGTTATCCCTTTGGTGAGGTTCTCCCTGATCACCCAAGGTGGAGTTGGTACTTTCTCTGTTGTGTTTCTTTTTGTTTTTTGGCTGCATCAGGCCTTCGTTGCCGTGCACAGGCTTTCTCTTGTTGCGGTGAGCAAGGGCTACTCTTCGTTGTGGTGCGCAGGCTTTTCATTGCGGTGGCTTCTCTTGTTGCAGAGCACAGGCTCTAGGTGTGTGGGCTTCAGTAGTTGTGGCGTGCAGGCTCAGTAGTTGTGGCACATGGGCTTAGTTGCTCCGCGGCATGAGGGATCTTCCCAGACCAGGGCTCGAGCCTGTGTCCCCTGCATTGGCAGGCGGATTCTTAACCACTGAGCTACCAGGGAAGTCCCTTTTTGTTGTGTTTCTTATTGTACCTTCCAACTGCCCTTTATTTGTAGCACCATTCATCCTACATAGTAATTTCATTATTCATTAGTTTTGAGTTGCATGACTAGAAAATCGTCTTACTTATCTTTGTATCCTTAGTGCCTTGCACAAACATAGGTAAATGTGGAATGAATGAGTTAAACAGAGGAATGAAATTCAGAAAGTCTTGATTTTTTTTTTGACTTCATATTTTGTGTAGTGTAAATTGATCTGTACTGCTTATGCACCTTAGGTTCTTAAGCTATAGTATGGAAATAATATTTATTTTCTACCTTCCTTTAAACACCATTTATTCAATTCGGAGCAGAGGTTTATACAAAGGAAGCAGAATTAGTGGTAATTCTGGAAATAATTTTTGAAAGAGCAGCCACTTGAGATACTTCTTGAAGGTTGAATAGAAGTATGACTTGAGTGGCAGCAGTGAGAATGAGAAAGGAGCATGATCCTGGCATAAGAAATGCAAAGGTACAGATGTCTGCAACTGCATGGTTCTGGAAGGCACAAGTGGTTTAATTTGGTTTCAGTAGAAGATGCAGGGTTGTGGTTAGACATGGAATTGGGGGAGTCGGCAGCAGTCTATTTTGGAGGCTGTTTTGTGCTTTGCAAAGAAGTCTTTGCAAAGATTTTATCCTTGGGTTATAAAATGCTGTTGAAGCCTCTTAAGCTGGAAAGGAACATAGTCACATGGGAGGAGGACTGAGACAGAAGATAGACCATTTAAAGGGACTTAGTGTAATTTTACGAGTGAAGAGTTGATTAGCCACTTAAAATAATTTTATGAAGATTTTTATGTTCTTTGTTCATTCTGCCAGGTACTCTGATACGCATGGGGTTACACAAGATGAGTACGGTATAGTTCCTGTAGAGTACAGGAAAATGTAAATACATAAAAGAACTAATTATATAAATATAGCCAAGGCTCACAGGTTTGTGATATATAGTATAGAAAATGTTATGGGAACTGGGTTCATTGTGGGCTAACTTTCCCGGGAGAATTAGGGTCTTGATGGAAGAGAAGGGATTGGAGTAGAGCAAAGAAGAATATTTTGGGTAAAGAAATAAATAAAGGGATTAATGGGTGAGGGAGTGTGGTTATGGTGCTAGAGCCTGTTTGTTATAGCTGGAAAATATCTGGTATCAAATTGTAATGGGCCTTGAATGTTGTGCTGAAGGATTTTGCATTTTATCCTAGAGCATTATTTTCTAATTATGAAAATAATACATATTGATTATATACAATTTAAGAAATATATGGAAATATGAAGAAAATGTAAATCTGATATGACTCCATCACAAAAAGTGGTTGCTATGAACATTTTCATGTATTTCTTTCCAGTGTTTGTCACTGTGCTCAAATGCATACTTGGGCATTAAATAAATGAAATCAGAATTATTCTCTGTTGTATAGTGTGTGTGTGTGTGTGTGTGTGTGTGTGTGTGTACGTATGTGCACATGTGTAATCTTATCTCACTTAAAATTGGAACATGGGCATTTTGCCATGTGGTTAGATGTACCCAGGAAGCATGATTTATAGTGATTACAATATTTATTACATGGTTATGCTTATTTATTTCTTTATTGTTGGATTATTTAGGTTGTTTTCAATCTAAAATAATGGACACTGTTTCACTGAACGTCTTTGTATTTCTGACTATTTAGGATAGGGTTCTAGAAATAAATGTACTGGATCAAACTATCTTAAGGGCTCATGCTGTATTTTGCCAAATTGCTCTTCCAAAAGGCTCTATTTAAATTCATGCCTGCAGTGTGTGGGTCTGACTTTCATTGTACTCCTGGCTAAGTATTTTTTGTGTGTTTACTGTTTGCTAATTTTATAAGTGGTATCTTGTGGTTATTTAATTGTTATTTCCTCGACAATTCATTTGAGTAGGTTTTCCCTTATATTCCTTGACTATTTGTCTCTTTTACTGTGACTTGCCCTTGACCTTTATGGTATTTTTCCCTTTTCTTTTATTTTGGTATTACTATTTTTTATATAGATTATAACTTCATTAGTCCTATTTCTGGCACATTTTTCTTCCTATTTCTTACTTGCCTTAACTTTTTATAGTAGTGAATTTTAAATTTAAGTGTGTTTGGCAAGTCCTTTCTCATCTTGAGATCTAGTCACCTATACTTTGATTTAGTTTTAATTTTGTATTTTCCATTTCTCTTAATAACCCATGATAATGGCAGTGTTTGGCAGAAGAGTGACATAATTAGATTTGTTCTTCAGAAAGCAGTCTTGTGGCCTGTGAAGGCTGGATGGGAGTAAGGAGAGACTAGGGGCAGTGATGTCTGTTTAGAGGAGAGGAGATAAGGGTCTGAACATAGTGATGGTGATGGTGGGGATAGATTAGACAAATGATTCTCAACCAATGATTTGGGAGATGCAGCAGGTTTAGTGGGAGGGTGGAGATTAGGACAGATTAAGTACAAGGTTTTATGGGACATCCAGATACAAGCAGTGGGAATTGTAGGATTGAAACTCTTTCAGGAGCTGGTCTGGCTGGTGATGGAGATTAGGGAGCCACCTGCATATAGGTGATAGTTCTAATATGGGAGAAAGAATGAGTTTTCAGGGCAGCTGACTGAGAAGGGTGGTCAGAACTAGAAGGCTCATTAAGAAGGTGTTCTCTGGGAAGCTCTTTTTATACTTTCTCTCTCTTTCTGTCTCTCTTAGCAAAATCAACAATGTCAGAGATTATGGATATGGTCAGAGATACTGCAAAGAGATTAACGAGGAGAGGGACTGAAAAGTTTCCACTGGATTAGTCTACTACTTTCCTTAAATGTGGCTAAAAGGGGCAGTAGACTGGGAAAGAAATAGAACAAGGAACATGGTCAAAGGATAACACTTTTAAAGACTCTAAGTAGACTTGAACATGTTCTCTATTGAGGGAAAAGAATTTATGGAGAGGGAGAGATTGAAGGTAAAGTAAAAAAGGAGGAATTTGATGGTGCAGCAACTTAAAAGGATGAGTAGCTGTGATGAACGCATTATTCTTTCAGGTGGAACAAGTAGTATTACATTCCCAGAGATAGAATTTGCATATAAGTTATTGAAACAATTTTTAATCTGTTCTATGAGTAAAAAGACTCCCTGCTTCAATAATTAACTTTCATTTTCTTTTGTTTTAAAGATTAATTGACAGTCTTATAATTGTTTCAGCGTAAAGTTCTTCTAATTGTTTAAGTTCATATCTTTTATATGCTGCTGATTGGCAGAGTTAGTGTGTTACTTTTAATGATACAGATACCTAAAAAGACAGCTTAATAAGCATTTAAATCCCTTTGATTATTTATTGTTCATTAATGAATGCATGAAATTAAATACTTTGAATTATAGCCATCTTTTAAAAATATTTGTTGCAGGGAAATTTACCTAAATATTCTCATAACTCCCTGATGGTTCAAGCAATAAAGACAAACCTAACAGACCCGGACATACATGTGCTTTTCTTTGATGTGGAAGCGTTGATTATTCAACTCCTGACTGAAGAAGCCTCTAGGCCGAATACTGCGCTTATTTCCCCAGAGAATCTGCAAAAAGCAGCTGGCGGTTCAGACAAAGGGGGCTCTTTTTTAACTGGAAAACGAGCAGCAGTTCTCTTCCAACAAGTGAAAGAAACTATCAAAGAGAACATAAAGGAACATCTCCTTGATGATGAAGAGGAGGATGAGGAGATAATGAGACAGAGGCGGGAAGAAAGTGATCCCGAATATCGGGCCAGCAAATCTAAGCCACTGACCCTGTTAGAATATAATCTGACTATGGACACAGCAAAATTGTTCATGTCCTGCCTTCATGCCTGGGGTTTGAATGATGTTCTGGATGAAGTCTGTCTTGATCGCCTTGGAATGCTGAAACCCCACTGCACAGTATCGTTCGGCCTCTTATCGAGAGGGGGTCATATGTCACTGATGCTTCCTGGTTATAATCAGGCTGCTTGTAAACTATCACATGGGAAAGCAGAAGTAGGAAGGAAGCTGCTGGCGACGGAGGGAGTAGGAAAGGGAACTTACGGAGTGTCCCGGGCCGTCACCACACAACATCTCCTGTCTATCATATCTTTGGCAAATACCTTAATGAGTATGACCAATGCAACTTTTATTGGTGATCATATGAAGAAGGGCCCTACCAGGTGTGACCATGATAGTTTGATTTTATTCTTATGTTTCAAAAAAAAAGAAACCTGTTTTATTTTTGTCACTTCTTATTACCTTTTTTTGGGGGGTGGGGCGCTCTACACACCTTGACATTTTTGTGTCATCTCAGTGTTTCCCCTTTAAATTTTAAATACAACATGCATGACAAAATATAATCAAATTGTACAGTTTTATCTATACTCAGACATACTTAGTAGCTATTTAAAAAAAACTTAGAATGAGGGAGTAGGTCAGAGTTTAGCTTTAACAAATTGTAGACTAGCTCTTCAGTAAATATAATCTTAGATTGTATCTATTTACAGTTTGCACTAACATTTAATTCAAATAGTGTATTTGGTTACAATGTGTGACCCACAGTGATGAATGGTAAGTGTTCAGTGGCTGGCTTCAGCATTTTGTGAGAAGTATAGTCAGAATTTCTCTGGGAAAAGAGGAAACAACTTTTTAAAGTGCAGGAGAGTATTCTTGTAATATTTCTACATATTTAACCTGAGTTGCTATTTCTCATTTTCCAGAAGTCATGAAGACAACTTTTTAAACTCTGGTTTTATTATACTTTATTGAGAGCCGACCACATTTAGGATTTTTTAAAATCTAACATACTAAAGTAGCACTTACCTAGTGTCTGGCTCTGTTGTAAGCACTTTACAGATGTTAACTCCTTAATGCCCTTACCCCTATAAGGTAGGTACTTTTATTATTATTTTGCTACAGATGATAGAGCTGAGACACAGAGAGGTGAAGTAACTTGCCCAGGGTCACACAAGTAGTAAAATGGTAGGGCCGGAATTCAAAAGGGGGCAGTCTGCCTGTGGAGTGGAAGATTTCTTAATGCCTTATTACCCTTTTCAGATTGTAGGGCTGAATTTTTTGAAACTCAGTATATTGTTCCATAAGTTCATTTGGACCAATGATGTGGGGTGGGCTGAAATATCAGCATGCTAATACTGAAGAATGAAGGGTTAATTATGATATTTATCTGTCAGTGGTAGTAGATTAAAGTGTTCATAAATATTTCTTAAACTAGTTTAAAGCATAAACAGCAGATGTAAAATTTTTACTTGCTATTTGTTAATCATTTAATTTTCTGTATTAAAATCTGAAATGGAAAATGTTAATAGGTACAAAACAAAAAATCCCTATCTTTTTGGAACAGCAAATTGAAAATGTTCTGTTATGTGTTTCTTTTGCAATTCATTTGGAACTAGAAAGCTTAATATTTTAAATGGCTCTGGAATTATGAAACTATGAATGTGTATATATACATGTATTTTCTTCTTCTTTTTAAAGGCCACCTAGACCAGGCACCCCAGACCTTTCTAAGGCAAGGGGTTCTCCTCCAACTTCCAGTAATATTGTGCAAGGACAGATTAAACAAGGTAAAATTAAATCTTATTAAGTAATTGACATGACATTTCAGCTCTAGAAACTGAGGAGGCATAGCTAATGCATAATCATAACATTTTGTTTGTCTCAGATTGTTAAATAGAGAAAAGTTGTTATATTCCAGATGTAAATATGGATAATTAAGATGTTAGTTAAAAATAAATCAGATTTATTTAGAAATTGATAAATGAGCGTATTTCACATAATTTTATTGTACTGTCTTTGGCCTAATCTTTATGCATTAGGGGCACCTTAACTTGACAACGCTAGTGCCTTAATGTGTGTATCTTGAGTCTATAAGGTATGTCTATTTTTTAAACTACATTTAGAAATGTTTAAATTCATATTTCCATACTATAGCTATTCTTGTGTCGTTTGCCAGTAGTTCATGCATTGTAATCCACAGTGGAAATAGTTTCTTTTTATTTAGTCATTATATACTTTAACTTTTTGTTCATAGCTTTTGTTTTGTTAGGGGATAGAAGAAAGATTGAGTTTTTCTTCCTTTATTTTCTTTTACACTCATTTTAGGACTTGACAAGAGAGTTCAGGGGGGAGTCACTTCTGCTTAGAGAGCTTTCCTTTAGGCTAAGTTGAAGGTTGTGCTTGTAAATGGTGACATTGTAGGATGTTCTTTTTTCAAAAAATTTGTTTAAGGTTTTAAAGAGTCAGTGAACAGTTCCGCAGAATTTGTTTGGTGAACAATAGGCCTCCAACTTCATGCCTACAGTTTTCCTCTTTCCTAGAACAAGTCCTCTGCTCTCTTAGCTGATTGTCCTTACTTTAATATCCTTAAATGGTATACTTGGTTTTTAGTTTTAGGTACTGTGTCGTAGCTTCTCATTATGGAAGATAAGCTACCCCACTCTCTATGCCACTCCTATCCTTCATTTCCAGCCCCATGTGGTCACCTCTCTTATTCCCCTGTCTTCTCATCAAGCCTTTATACTCATTTTATAATAGTCTATATGAATATATATAAAAGTTTTAATTAGATAACTTTATACTTGTGTATGTGTGAAATACACACAGAAAAGTGCACAAAACAAATATGCAGCTCAGTGATTTTTACAAGCTGAACACCCATGTAACTATATCCCTGGACAAGAAATAGAACATTGCCAGTACTCCTGAAGCCTCCTACATGTTCCCTCCAAATCAGTATACCTTCCTCTTCCAAAGGTAACCACTATCTTGACTTTTAGGAAATCATTTCCTTGCTTTCCTTTATGGTTGTACCACCTAAGTTTAAATCCCTAAACACTATGGTTTAGTTTTGCCTGTGTTTTGAATTTTATATGCGTTCAGTTAGTCATGGAGCATGCATTCTTTTGTGTTTGGCTACTTTTGTGAGATTTATCAGTGTTGTTGCACGTGACTATAGTTTGTTCATTTTCATTGTTCATTTTATTGCTGTATACTATTCTGATGAATGAATAGACCACAATTTTTTGATCCATTTCTTGGTCAATAGACACTTGGATTACTTCCGGTGTTTCATTTTCATAAATAATTCTTCTATGAACATTCTTGTATTTGAATCTTAGTGTATATTATAAGCGTTTCTGTTGTGTATGTAGCCAAAAGTGGAATTTCTGCATAGATTTATCTTCAGCTTTAATTGTGGATAATGTTAACATGTTTTCCTAAGTGAGAGACATATACATCCATCAAACTGGCTAAGGGGAAAAAGATGGAAATTGTTGTGTTAGCTGGGATATGGATCAGTGAGACCTCTCATATATAGCTGGTAAGATATCCTAGCCAACACTTAATATTTTCCATGTTTTTCACTTTAGCCATTTTGGTATGGCTAGTATATCTGACATATCAGTATTTTCATTCCTGATTAATATTTTTGTGTCCTATTTAAGAAATTACCCTGATATTTCTACTCTGATATGAGGATATTCTTCTTTATTTTCTTTTGGAAGCTTTCTTATTTTACCTTTCTCATTTAGGTCTATAGTCTGCCTAGACCTTAATTTTGTGTATTATGTGAAGCAGGGGTCCTGTTTTGATTTTACTTCCATATACCAAATTGGTACAGCATGATTTATTAAAGAGATGATTCTTTCCCTACTGCTTTGCAGTGCCATTTTTGTCATAAATATAATGTCCTTATATATGGTAGTCTATTTCTGAGCTGTTTGAGCACTTTGATTTGTTTGTGTATCATTGTGCCTTAATTACTGCAGCTCTGTAATAAGACTTGATATTTAATAGATCAAGTCTTCCCACCCGTTCTTAAAGAATGTCTTGACTATTCTTGTCCTTTTGAATTTCAGTATAAACTTTAGAACTGTTTTATTATTATCACAAAGGCCTATTGTGATTTTAACTTCGATTTTATTGAATTTGTAGATCATTTGGGGGAGAATTATTATCTTAATGGGATTCACTCATTTAATCCATCAACTTGATATATCTCTACATTTATTTAGGTCTTATTTAGCTATCATAACTCTGTATAGTTTTCTATATAGAGGTCTTATATTTCTTTTGTTAGATTTATTCCTAGATATTAGATTTTTAAAATACTCTATTTAATATCTAACTGATATTAAATTTCTTCATTTTCTGTGCCCCTGATATAGAAATGCAGTTGACTTTTGTATATTGACCTTATGTCAAAGAATCTTGCTAAATTCACCTATTAAAGGTAATACTTTTCTGTAGATTCTTTTGATCATATGGACAATCATATGGAACAACTTTTTTTTTTCCAGTATCAAAGGGAGAACTTTTAAGATTTCATAATTATGATAATTCCTATATGCTTTTACAGATAATCTAAGAAATTAACTCTTCTGTTCCTTTGTTAAGTGTTTATCATCAGTGTATGTTGGATTTTATCATGCTTTTTCTGTATCTATTGAGGTGACTATATAATTTTTTTTACTCTATTAATGTGATGGATTTACAACCCAATTTTGCATTCCAGAATAAAACCAATCTTGTGATGTATTATTATCTTATATATTGTTGCATTTAATTTAATATTTTTTATTTAGGAAAACGTTTTCTTCTAATATTTATGTAAGGTTTTACTTTATTCAAGTTTCGGCAAATGGATTGGGGAATCTTCCTTTTCCATTTTTAGGTAGAACTTGTGTGAGATTGACATTAATTATTTCATAAATGTGCAGTGGAATCTGCTGGGGTTAGACCTAGAGTTTTCTTTGTGGGGAGTTGTAAAATTCTGGGTTCAGTTTCTCTCATTGTTATAGAACTTCAGGTTTTCTGTTTCTTTTTGTGTCAGTTTCATTAAGTAGTACATATTTAGGGATTTTTCTAGTTCTAAATTTTCAAATGCGTTTGCCTTTGAAAAGATAACATCTTATCTTTTTAATTTCTGTAGTATCTGTGGTGATGTCTCCATTTTTATTCCTGATATTAATCATTTGTAGCTTTCTTTTTTCTTGATCAGTCTTACTGGGGCTTTATCAATCTTTTTAATCCATAGTGCCTTTGTTTATCCTTTCAAATGCATATTTTTTCCTGTTTCACTAAATTCCGCTCTTCTCCCACTTCCTTGGGATTCAATATGCTGTTATTATTAATTTTTTAAAAAAGTTTATTTATTTTATTTATTTCTGACTGCATTGGGTCTTTGTTGCTGTGTGTGGGCTTTCTCTAGTTATGGCTAGCGGGGGCTACTCTTCATTGCGGTGCGCGGGCTTCTCATCGTGGTGGCTTCTCTTGTTGCAGAGCACAGGCTCTAGGCACGCGGGCTTAAGTAGTTGTGGCTCGCGGGCTCTAGAACACAGACTCAGTAGTTGTGGCACACGGGCTTAGTTGCTCTGTGGCATGTGGGATCTTCCCGGACCAGGGTTCAAACTCATGTCCCCTGCATTGGCAGGCAGATTCTTAACCACTGCGCCACCAGGGAAGTCCAGTTATTATTAATTTTTAAAAACTTTTTACGATTGATGGTTACTTACTGATGTTGAATTGAAGTTAGAGCAGACATCCTTGCCTCATTCCCAATCTTAGGGATAAAGCATTCAGTCTTTTACTATTAAGTATGATGTTAGCTATAAGTTTTTCTTAGATGAGCTGGATGTTGAGGAAGTTCCCTCCTATTCCTAGTTTGCTGAGATTTTAAAATTATGAATGGATGTTAGATTTTGTCAGATTATTTTTCTGCATCCATTGAAATTATCAAATGAATTTTCTCCTTTATTTTCTCAGTAAGTCCAAGAACATTGACTTCTGAATTTTAAGAAACCTTGCAATCCTGGGGTAGATCACACTTGGTCATGATGAATTATCCTTTTTATAGATTATTGGATATAATTTGCTAAAATTTTGTTAAGAGTTTTTATGTGTATGATCGTGAGGGATTTGGGTCTAGAGTTTTTCATTTCAATAATGTGTTTGTTCAATTTTGGTAACAGGATAATGCTGGTCTCACAGAATGACTTAGGATGTTATCCCTTTTCTTGTGTTTTCTGGAAGGGCATGTGTAGAATTGATACTATTTTTTACTTGTTTGATCTGTTTTACCAGTGAAAATATGTGGGCATAGGGTTTTCTTTATGGGAAGATTTTTTTAACTACAAATTTAAATGGTTTAATAGATATAGAGCTATTTAGGTGTTTTTTTTTTTTAATTCATCTTGGGTGAACTTTGGTAATTTGTGTCAAATTTATTGGCAAAAAGTTGTTTAATATTCTCTTATTTTCCTTTCAATATCATATCTGTAGGATTTGAAATGACATCCCCTATCTCATTTCTATTATTCATAACTTATGTTTTTTCTCTTTTTTCCTGATCAGTCTAGCCAGTAACTTAGCAGTTTTGTAGTTCTTAACCAGCTTTGGGTTTCATCAGTTTTTAATGTTGTTCTTCTGTTTTCTATTTCATTTATTTCTGCTTTGCTTGTTATTATTTCACTTCTTTTGCTTTAAATTTGCTTGTATTTTTTATTTTTATTTTTTTAGAGTAGAACCTGAGGTCATGGATATAAAACTTTTCTTCTTTCCTAAT